CCTTCCTTCCTTCCTTCCTTCCTTCCTTCCTTCCTTCCTTCCTTCCTTCCTTCCTTCCTTTCTTTCTTTCTTTCTTTCTTTCCTTTCTTTCTTTCTTTCTTTCTTTCTTTCTCTTTCTTTCTTTCTTTCTTTCTTCTGTTATGGGGCTTGAACTCAGGGCCTGGGCACTGTCCCTCAGCTCTTGCTCAAGGCTAGCATCCTACCATTTTGAGCCACAGTGCCACTTCCAGTTTAGGGATTAAATGGAAAAAAAAAAAAAAAAAGAGTCTCAGGGGGACTTTTCTGCCCAGGCTGGCTTCAAACCATAATCCTCAGATCCCAGCCTGCTGAATTGCTAGGATTACAGGCATGAGCCACTGGCACCTGTCTTGAATACTGTTTCTTTAATTTGAAAAGATTTATATATCTTGAAGCATTTTGTTTATTCTAGGCCTTGTTAATGATGCACCTTTGCTATCGTTGCTCAAAAACTGGGATATGTGATATCTTATTAAAGATAAATATACATTCAGCCATCCATATCTGTGAATTTAATATTTACGAATTCAATCTGCATTGCATAAAAAATACTTGGAAAAAACCCAAACACATATGGACATTCATCAATTATTTTCAAAAACAGTATAACAACTATTTGCATACATTTTACTTTGCATTAGGTACTATAAGTGATCTAGAGATTATTTAAACTACACCAGAAAATTTAAGTTATATGGAGATAGAATATCACTTAAATAAGGGACTTAAGCATCAGTCAGGTTTTAGTATCTGTATGGGTTCCTGGATCCAACTTCTTACAGATACTGAAAGATCACTGTACACACACACACAAAACATAAGGACATGCACCAGGATGTAAATAGTGGCCACTTTCTAAAGGCTACAATTCTGGAGGAGGGTATTTTAAAAGAAAAAGGTAAATAACCAGGAAAAAGAATCTGCTTACTCTACTAAGACAATAAAATTGTATTAAATATATTTTCCTTTGAAACACTCTTATACTCACATCTTCCTTCCCTTAGTCATAAAAGTGCATACATTTTATATTTGAAGATTTTAAAATTGACTCTGTAAGATCATGCCCACTTTATGTTTTAAATTTCATTCTCCAGGGCCTTGTTAAAAAATTTGCTAAGAAACAAACCTTTCCCCAAACTCCCTCCCCCCAAGTGTGGCCAGGTATGTCAGTCAAGTACTTTAAATAGACTTGATTATAGGTTTTGGAAGAGTTCTTTTTCCACTGTATTTAAAGATGCTCATGTTAAATGTCTTCGTGCTTCCTTTTCCTGTTGTCTAGTCATTCTATCTTAGGCTTGTAAGTCCAGCACCATTTGGTCTCAAAATTCCCCAATATTGGTGAAGAACTTGACAAACCCATAATGACTGGTACAAACAACCACATTTTCCTAGGTATTTGCCCTATTCCATTCTCAGGAATTTGTATTACAAATGCAGTATTAACAAATGATAGTTTAGTTGCATCACTCTATTAAAATTGCTGCAGATATCTTCATATCCCTTTAATATACAGAAGTCACATCCCCCCCTCCCCGCAAAATGGCAAGATCTATTGACAATAGCAAACGAAAGAGTTGTGAAATTTGTAGAATATAATGGTGGTTCTCACTTGATTCTCAACATTTTTTTTTCTGGCTATATACTCTAATGTTAACCTCTTGGAGTCTTTGTTACACTTCTAAGTGAAATGCAGAAAAGTAATTGAGAAAGAAGAGAAACTCCCAAGGATTCCAGAAATACAGAAAGCAAATTCTCAATATGATTTGGTTTCAAAGACCTTATCAGAACATTTTCATATTCTTGGTGATAATCAGTTCATCTTTCGTGGAGCGTACTAACTTGAAAATGTATTATCACACTTCCAGAAATATTTGTTTTGGTATGATTTGTTTTACTTTTGAGATAGCATGTTAATATGTTGCCTAGACTGGCCTTTAACTGGGATCGTCCTGTCTCAGCTTCCTGAGTAACTGGGATTACAGACAAGACAGACAACATCTGGATCAAACTTTCTTTTTAAAAACGTAATTTTATTGTGATTACCCAGGTATTGTACAGAAGGGTTACAATTCCATAAGTCAAGTAATGGACACAATTTTTCTTGGACAAAGTCACCCATTCCTTGGCTCTCTCCTAGTTCCCTGCTCTGCCCCTTCTCACAAGTTGCATAGTTCATTCATTCATTCATCTACTGTAGGGCTTCTGGGTTGTTTCTATATATTTATGTAGAAACTGTTATTGTGAACAGTGCAGCAATGAACATGGATGACTTTACTATATCCTGAGTTGCTATGTTTTGGGGAGATGCCCCAAGAGTGGTATGCCTGGATCTAGCAAAGTTCCACATTTAATTTTTTGAGGAACCTCAAAACTGCCATTCACAGTGGTTGTATTAGTTTACATTCCTACTGACAGTACAATATGGTTCCTTTTCTCCCATGTCCCTGCCAGCATTTGTTGTTCAAATTCTCAATGTTGGCCAATCTAACTGGGGTGAGATAGAATTTCAATGTTATTTTGATTTACATTTCCTTTATGGCTGGGGATGTTGATGGCTAAAACTTTCTTAATCTCATTTCTGAGCAAAATACTGATAAAAGAAGTTAGAAAAGTCAGAGAATCTATCTCCAGCAATAATGAGAAGAAAAGATGGAACTGATCTTAGATGATGAGTAGGACAAACAGCAAACCCATATGACACATGGTTTTATCATCGTGAACATACAGACTAAAATAATGTCTAAGGTAGGTTAGCTTCCTTAAACTGTCCCTTGCCAATACTTAGTCACACCTTGCATAAGTAATTAGAAACTCTAGGAACAGTTCATCTTGGAAATTTATCTTAGCAATCAAAAGCCTACTCTTTTAACTTCCCTGGAAAAAAAAGACATGGGCAGAACTTGGTGAGAGACCAAAACTCTGTGATACTCTTCCAGTTTTGAGTACTGCTTGATTCATGAGTCATTCTTTCAAATAAACTGTTTCATCAAAAGCAATAATTCATACCATAGGAATAAGACAGACTCTCTCCTATCTTCATTGCTGCTGGTTAAAAGAAGCAGGGAAAAACAAAACCAAAACTGAAACAAACAACAACAAAAAACCCTGATACTCCCAGGCTCCTGCATAAGGGCAGGACTGCAAATGTGAATTTCCCAGTGACGTTGTAAAACAACCTCACAATTGTTTGAATTGCTTACAGATATATGAAAAATCCCTTCTTCCTTTCGAGATACATTTCAAAATCAAAGTATAGTCTATCTCTGCATACACAGACACTTTGAGCTCTTTCCTGATAGCATTTATAATAGGGCTTCTTCACTGTTTTCCAAGTCTATTATCAATATAGAGGTGAGAGGCTTTGCGATCTAGATAAATAGTCAGATATCATATGTGCCATGGGGTCAGTTATGTGTAAGTTTTAAGCTTAATAATTTTTTAAGGGAACAGTAGGAAATCTTACTTTTTATTTTATTGTTTTTATGTTTGTCTTCCATAGGCAAAGTTGTTTTTCTTTTTCTTTAAATTTCTATGGTAAGAAATGATAGAGGTAGGCATGATGTCTCAAGCCCATAATCCTAACAACTTGAGAAGTAGAGCCTGAGGAACCACTTTGGACGTCAGCCCATCTCAACCAATGGCTGAGCTCAGTGGCACATACCTACCTGTCATCCGCAAGCTATCTAAAGGGCTGTGTTTAGTGAAGGGCACCTGCCATCCCAGCAATGTGGAGAAGCACAAATAGGAGCATCACTGCACAGACTAACACGGGCATAAAGCAAGATTCTATCTCAAAAATGGCCAATGCTAAAAGAGACTGATAGAATGGCTGAAGTGGTAGAGCACCTGCTTAGTAAGCAGGAAGCACTGAGCTCACACCCCAATACTGCCAAAAATTTTTTTGCAAAGATAAACAATAGAAACACTCAGGGACTAGTGAATGGAATGTGCTAGAAAGCAACAAAAGGAGGTAAATCCAGTAAGGCTTGAAGGACAGAACTTTCACATGACCCTAAACAGTGAAGTAGGTCAGTGTTGACGTGCATATAAACAACAGGGCATCATTCAGTAAAAGGAGAAATTCATAGGTATAAAGAAATTCCATCAGAAAGTGGGGAGATTTAATTTTACTAGTATTTCCACAGATATGATACAAATAAAAATGGTTTCCTTTTGTCTCCAAACCTGAATGACTGGTTAAACTAGGCCATAGCTGTTCTTTCATGGTACATACTTACAAAAATATTTCCTTTCACACCACAGCTTTTGATTTCCCTTCTTTATCTATCATGCTCACCAGCCGAACAAGTAAATGCTTTAAAAACTCAATATATATTCTATAAAATTTAAAACATTGAGGAAAGGGGTATGGTTGGGAGGGATGGGGGAGAATATAAAAGGGGTGACATTGATCAAGATGCACTGTATTCATGTAATATTTTGTTGAATAGAAACTCCTTTGTACAAGTAAAGATCATAAAATTTAAAATAATGAGTTCTAGTTCTAAATTGTAGCTAGCTGCAAGGGTTTGTTTTAAGAATCACTTAAAATTACTTTCATGACTTCCACTTATACTCTTGAATCAAATCTGATTTAAGACTAAACTTGTCAGTATTCACAAGATTCCTTACGACATCATTATTTAATAGTTCAAGACAGAAGTCAAAACTTAAAGACAAGAAGCTGGGTGCTGATGGCTTACACCTGTAATCTTAGCTACTCCGGTGGCTGAGATCTGAGAATCTTGGTTCAAAGCCAGCTCGGGCAAGAAGTCCTTGACACTCTTATCTCCAATTAATCACCAGAAAACTGGAAGTGGTGCTGTAGTTCAGGTGGTAGAGTTCTAGCCTTAAGCTGAAGAGCTGAGGGACAGCGCCCAGGCCCAGAATTCAAGCCCCATGACGGAGAAAAACAAACAAACAACAACAAAAAAAAAACCTTAAAGACAAGAGAAAATCATTTACAATATTGTGGAAATTACCTCATCCGATCCTTTCTTTTCTCCTTGTTTAGAAGATGATCCACTGCTTTTTTCATTGACATGCTGTAAAAATGTAAAACAAAAAAAGATAATGTTTAATAGAGGAGGGTTACACAGGATAATAGTGCCTCTAACCCAGAAACACTAAAGACACAAACTTTACAAATAAGCACCCCTTTTAATTTTCCAGTATAGAATACTAGCAATTCTATATTTATAGGTTTCAAAAATCAAGGTGGTGATATAGCCACTCATTTGAAATCCTGAAAGTCAGATGGTAATTAACCAGATACAGAATTGATGATAGTGCCCTAATCTTGTCTACTACAAAATGTTTCATGGTGTTTTGAAATCCAAATTACAAGTATAAGAGACATCAGGTTCATCATGGAGATGAGATCTCATAAGAACAATGTTGCATCTGAAATCAGACTTAAGCCCCAGCTCAGCATGAACACAAGGTGTTCACCACATCCTTCTTGGCCATCCACAACTTCCACCAGCTGTTGGAAATTCCTACAGTTCTTCCATCTGAATATGCGCCAATGCAAAATGATAACCACACATGCAATTTCTCCAATTAATTAGAATCTCATTATGTGTAGGAACAGAATTATTAATATTTTACAAAGACACTAGTGATGAATGTATTTTTATACGGAACTCAGAAGCTTTGAAAAGCATATCACTCCTGTTTTTGTTATAAAATAAACCACAAAAGCCAGGCACTGGTGGCTCACACTTGTAACCCTAGCTACTCAGGAGGCTGAGATCTGAGAATTGCAGTTCAAAGCCAGCCCAGCCAGGAACCTCGATAAGACTCTGGTCTCCAATTAACCACCAGAAAACCAGATATGGCCCTGTGGCTCAAGTGGTAGAGTGCTCACCTTGAGCTGAAGAGCTCAGAGACAGAGCCTAGGCCCAGAGTTCAAGCTCCATAACCAACAACAACAAAAAAATTAAAATTAAAAAATAAATAAATAAAATATATGTATTTAGATGAAAAATTCAAACATTCATTTTTTTCTTTGTGGTGATTCAAAGGGATTCCATTCTAGCCCTCTACATTAACCAACTAGCTGCTCCCACTGAAAGGCTCAAAATCTTCCAAGTTTTATAGAAATAAAAATACAGTCTGGGAAAGTTATATGTAATTCATATTTTTTTATTTTGAGTTTTAATAACTTAACAATGTAAGTATTTCCGTTTTGTAATTCAAAATAATTATTTGTTCCCAATAAGTAGAAAAATAGAAAATATAAATAGAAATATAGATAAATAGAAAATAGAAATATAGATAAATAGAAAAATATAAAATAAACAAAAATCATTTATAGTCATTTTCCAACACACTTCAGAACACTGAGGATTAAATTTTTCAATTTCCTTTTAAAATCTAGCTTTATTATGAAAAATTTGAACATATAGAAAAGTTGGAAAGACTATAACTTGAATGCCTATATTACCAGTAATCAGATTCATCACTTATTGACACTTTTGTTGTATTTTTTCATTTACACAAACACATCCATGTATACATGGCCCCTCACAGATGTGTGAGCGCACACACACACACACACACACACACACACACACACATACACACACACACATCTATATGTACTTGCACTCGAAAATAAATTGTGTACTTCCGAAACTTTAACACTATTTCAAACACCAAACATTTCCTTAAATTAAGCACCTTTTCCCACATTAACCCAACACCATAGTTCCCTACTAGCATTCAATCTCTTACAAATAGTAACTGTATAAACTAACCATTGCCCTGATCATTTCTTGAGGGGTTTATTCAATATTCAACAGTCTGTTAGTAATGTAAAATCAAATCTTTTCACTGGAAGGGATTCTAAATGTTCAATTTTTAAGTTCCTGGGATAATGGAGCACTGTTCATATAATTAAGCTGATGGAATGAAATATTTTGGAATGATACATGTCAAATTTGATCCATCTCAGCCACTGGTAGTGAATCTTTCTAGGGCGGAAGAGAAAAAAAAATTGGCTAGCACTATTATGTCTAGTTGAGGTGAGAGGCAGGGACCAGGGACGCAAAACAGATTCGAATATAAGAAAATCAAACCACATCAATGAAGAATTCTACTTGAGTGAAAAGAAACTAATGCCAGTGCTAGGAACTTCCTTTTGTGGTCTCCTTTGCTTCCCATAACATCTCATCTCTGGGGAGTACTCATTGTCATTCTGTGAGATCTTTATGTTGATTTTCTACTTAGCTTACAACAGTGAAGACTATAGTCTGATCAAAGTTTATTGGCTACAAGCTAGTTAGGATCTTGTGAACTACATCAAGAAATCATTTGATCATGCCTCCCTAGCAAGCAAGATGCCCGAGTTTAAGCCCCCATATCATTAAAAGCAATCAATCTAAAATAATTTTTAAAAGCCAGGCATGGGTGGTTCATTCCTGTAATCCTAGCTACTCAGGAGGCTGAGATCTGAGGACCATGGTTTGAAGCCATCCGAGGCAGAAAAATCCATATAGACTCTTACCTTCAGTTAGCCAACAAACAAAAAAATGCCAGACATGGAGCTGAGGCTTGAGTGATAGAGAGCTAGCCTTGAGTGAAAAAGAAAAGGACAGTGCTTAGGCCCTGAGTTCAAGCCTAGTACCAGAATAAATATATAAATACAAAGATAAGAACAAAAAAGAAAGCAAAGCTTTGAGTCTATTGCTCTAAACAAAACAAAATTAGCTGCAAAAAGAATATAAAAGGTTTTGGGTTTCTGAAATTGGAAAAAAAATTAAGTACAAAATTCCTTTTAGGAGGAGACAGAAACATCTAAAATAAAGTTGTGGTGGTATTATTGCTTGAGCAGACACTGAAAAAAATACTTATCATGAACTTTAGTGGGTAAACTATGTGGTTTCTAAATCACATCTGAATGAGTAAAAGTTATCAGGAAACTTGGAAATTGCCCCTTTTCAACCTGGAGATAGCCCACTGAGAGCATTATGTACCTATCCAGAGATAGCTGTGGTAATATCATGATCTAAGGCAGATATACATAGTCCTAGACTTCCCAGTGCAGATAGCGGCTACTTTAAATACTGGCAAAGACATGTTGGGAGAGGGGGACACTGAGCATGATTAGCAGTAGGGATCATCTTTTAGAGCTTGTCCTAAGCACTAAGGAGCTTGGGAAACACTGGTGCAGAGAGTTAGGGGTTAAATTTTGTTTGAATAATATGTACATATTTTCTAAATGTCCAACTAATTATAATGTGTAGTTGGCATTGGGAATTGCTGGTTTTGAGGGAAGATTTATGGACACCATGACAGGAAAAGGAAGCTTCTGCTCCTCGCAGCACTTTATGGAATATGTCCCCACGGAGTATGTATCCACAGGAAGGTTCCTGGGGTCAGACAGTCTAGGGCAATTCTGGCTTCTCCTTGGTGAACTGACTGCTCGGTGAGGGAGCTCAGGGCCTGTGTCTGCACCAGTATTTCCCGTCCCCAGTCCTGAGCTTTGCCCTGATAGTGGAGCATCTTATCTTCATATTTGCAAAATAGTCTCTATTTTCCTAGTGAAGCAAACAAATTAACACTTCATTGTATACTTCTTGCTGACGAATTGCCTAATATATATATATATATATATATATATATATATATATATACATACATACATACATACATATTGCCTTTCCAATCAGATGGTAAATTATATTCTTAGTCACAGGGTGGGACCATGACAATGTAGATTAAATAACCACATTAAAAATATACAGCACACAAAACCTTCTAGGACAAGGATGTAGTCCTAGTACAGATAAAAGCAAAGACAAAAAAAAACTTTCTAAACATTGCTAGAGAAGTACTTTCCTTATCAGTAAACTAGATAAGAGAGAAAGGCTGAAATATAGTTTGAAGCTACTTAAAATGTAAAAATTAGTGCTCACACTCCCCACCCCAGTCTTGTATCTTTCCTGCTTTTTAAAACAAGATTATGTGCCAGACAACTGATAGACCAAGGTGTAGAGCTGGTCTTGCTTCTAAATAGTCTTCTTGAAGGCAGAATCTGGACCTATGTGCCTTGCTCCACTTCTGCTCGGTTGAGATCACAGGAGATTTTCTTAGTGGATGGCCTCAAGCTGGGTTTGGTCAATGAGAGGCATTGGAAGGTGGTGGGTTGATGAGGAACTGGAGATATTAGATCTTCCCCTACTCTTGCTCTAGGGCTTCTCTATACACAATAACTCCTGCAAGCCAAGCCAGATGTTTGTTACTCCAACTTCTGTAATGTTGTTCTGTCCCTACAGCCTAGGACTAGTAGTGGCTTCTAATCTATGAGTTGCCTTCTCCTTCCCTGATGTTTTCCCAGCCTTTTCTGTAACCTGGGTTACCAACTTCCTGCATCACACATTACTTTTGTCTCAGAGTCCTTTCTGTCTTTTTGCAGACTGCCACAAATTCTAACAGCATAAGAAGAGAGTGGATTTGGAAGACTACGTTACCTTGGGCAAATCATTTAACCTTTCAGTTTCACCTTGTAAAGTGAGCTAAATGGTACCTATCTCAGGACATGGCACATTTATGAAAAGGTTAAAAATTAAAGAGGAGGTTGCCCAATGTCTACCTTATTTGAAAAGTACTGTCAATTATTCCATTCCCTTCTTTTACCCTGGTATTAATATAATTGTGGTGAACTGTTAACACTGAAATGAACATGAGAAATAAGCAAAGATCTCAAGGCTTCTTTTTGTTTTGTCGGTCATGGGGCTTGAAGTATGGGCCTGGGCACAGTCCCTGAGCTCTTCAACTCAAGGCTAGCACTCTCTACCACTTGAGCCACAGCGCCACTTCTGGTTTCCTGAGTGGTTTTTATTGGGGATAAGAGTCTCATAGAGCTTCCTAACTGAGCTGGCTTTGAACCATGATCCTCAGATCTGTTTCCTGAGTAGTTAGGATTACAGGCGTGAACCACAAGTGCCTGGCTTCTGGCATTTTCTAAGGCTGTAAACATTAGGAAAAAAGAATTTAGTGCTTTTTGCTTGTTTGGAGTTTTTGTTTTTGTTTTGTTAAT